TGCAGACGGCATTCAGGCGAGAGCAACATCCTGCACACATTGAGGGCTCTCAAGCGAAACGGCTGTTGGTCGGGCGGTCTCGGGGAGCGGTCTCAGGTTTCCCGTCCCGCACGTCGGATTTTGAACACTACTAGACCCCCCCAGCGAAGGGCTATTAGGAAATAGTTCCTGCTCGCTGCATGGGCAAACGTGTTGGTAAGGCGGACCGGGCGCCTCGCTCCGGAAGCTTGCGTGACGACTCCGACTGTTGCGCGGATGGAATCTGTCAAATTTTCAAGACGCGACCCTCCGTTCACAAATTGTTGTCGTGTCCAGCAGTTGCAGGGATGGATGTGCGATGATGAAAGGGGCCCTGGGACACACAAATAAATACACACAAATAACAGGATCCCCCATATTTTCCCACATGTTCTGGGCTATCGTCTTCCCCCCACACTTCCCATATCTTCTCATATTTTCCGGGGGCTCGACGATTAAGTGTGTCTGAGTGTTTTTTCTCCTCCTGAAATGTGCCTTTCCCCTGAACGACGCGCGCGCGCTCGCAGGTAAAAAGCTCCCAACCGCTGCGCGGATGGAGAGCGAGACCCCTTCACAGTGTGGCCGTCGCCTCGGAGTTGCGCCCGTCTGCAACATCCCACCGTAATTGCACGTGCTGGTTTGAGTTCCACGCCCTACTCCTCCTGCCTGCTTAACAACAAAGACGGCCGACTCTGACGGAGGGAGATCCAGCCGCCCTGAAAGAACCCCTGGTCGGACTCGTATGGCTTGTCCCCGACCCTTGGCATGAGAAGGCCCTCGTCCTCTTTCGAAGGCGAGAGACGTACGCAAACGATGGAGGACGACACTCTGCGAGGCGCCTTGACAAGGTGCTCCAGCGATGCGCACAAGCACCGTGCAGGCTTGCAGCGTCCACTCTAACGCTTTCACAACGCAGCCTTCACTGGAGGTAAAACCCCTGCAAACGTAGCCCGATCCACACTTACCAGGTCGGGTCCGGACACAGGCACACTTCGCAGCGCGGCCACGAACCTTGCCTCCACTGCTACAGCATCTGCACTTCGCGCAAATGAACAGACTCGAACTGTCCGAGCAGGGAAAAACGATGGCGCGATGTTCGGGCTCTTCCTGATGAGCACCGAGAAAACATAACCCACGGAACACTCAGTCGTGGAAAGCTGGGCGGAGACACGGCTGCCACGCAAGCATTGGGTCCATCGCCAGATACACCACCCGGCGTTGCCACTCGTGGCCAGCAGAAGCGGCTGCGGCATCAAGTTCGTCCATTCCCTTGTCAGCCGCGAGCACATCCAAGCCGGGCCAAAGATGCCAAACGTATGCTGCCACGAGCAGACTGCTGCGCACAAACAGGACCAAGCGATCCGTCTCCTCCAAAGAAATCGGGCTGGAGGGATGAGAGGACGTTGCCGATTTCGCCGGTACATCAGCGCGATGATTGCCCTGTCTGCGCCAACGCCCCCCGGCGTCGATCCCAGATTCCTCCAAGCCACGGTGGGCTAAAACGTTAAAGCCGAACTCAAAAGGACTCTGCGTTGACCGTCCACCTGAAAGACATCGCCCGACTACACCGTCTTGCGCGAACGCTGCTCAACGTTTGGGCGAACGGTTGGTTTCGCAACGATGTTGCAATCGGAACAAAAACATAGGACATCGGCCGAGCTGAGCGCCGAGACCCAGGTGATGCAGCTGATGTCAGCCGACTGAGAAGTCTGGGGATACGGGGCCAACATGGGATCGCGAAGCGCACCAACCATATCACCAGCATTGTCAACTTGCACGACGCTGCAGGCAACCCGACACAACTCCCTGACAGAGTGCCTGGCGAAACTGTCGTCAACGAGAAAGGAGCCCCGAAACTCGGTCCCAGGAGCGCGCCCCGAAATGTGCAACAGGTCTTCTGGGTACCACGCAAAGAAATGGCGGTCATCCAACTCGGCCATGGGCCTGGGATAGGAGTCAGCGGGGCGGCGGAAAGCACCATAAACGAAGACGAACGTCTCGCTGCTGTCCTACGGATCCATAGTTTACAACGCGGCCGCGACCGCATCTGGGCTGGCGACCGCTGAACGAAGGGCGACAACGGGCTCGCGGGCGAACGAACTCCCAGAGCTCATGGAAGATGGCGGCGGGCGCCCCGCAGATGCAGCGCCGGCCGTCGACCGGACACCCCCTGCATAAGGCAGCGTGGCCCGTGGAAACACATCCGCGGCGAAAGCCCCGACGCGGGCCTTGCGCAGGGCCGTGCAATTATTTCTGGTGGCGAACCGCTTTGCGAGCGATGCGGCGGCAGAGCCTGGGGGGGGGGGAGGGGCGCCCAACTTCTCCCCGGGGCCCCTCTCAAACCCCTTGAAATGCCCATATCTGAGCACCGTGTGCACAGACGCAGGCGAACCAATATCGAACGGAAGAGAGAAACCGCGGTCATCTCGCGGCGCCATAAAGTCACCCACGCGCTACCCCAGCCCGACTAAACTCATCCTTCGCGCCGAGATAAGGCTGGCCACTCCCTTCCAGGAACAAGGCACTTGCGGAAAACAATCGCGACAGGCCTGGCGACAGTCGGTCAGCGCGGGGGCCCAATGAAACGCCCCCGTCTGCCTCGGCCGAACCGTCCTAGACCGGTGCGCAATCGGAGCAGTCGGCGGGCGCCAGCATGGATCATGAGCTAACGTAGCCGACGTCGTCGAGGACCTGAGCTGCGAGGTGGGTCGCGCGACCGAGAGAGCTCCCATGCGCATGGCGCGGCATATCCCCATCGCTGATTCCCGCAATTTCCGAACCATGCGGAACGCCCGCCCGAGCCCCAGCCGACAAAGAAAAACGGCGGACCTGCTTGCGAGAGAGGACCTGGTTTTGTCGCTCGAGCCTCTTGGAGGCCCCGCGCGCTTTGGCCAGGCGGACTTGAAGCGCGACGGAACGCCGACCAAACCTAACCGCACGGCCAGCGGTGTAGCCCACGCCTAAGTTGACAGCACGACTAGCAAAACAGCCTCCGCACTCGCTGAGCCCCTCAGCTGCAGCGACTCCGATGGCTATGCTTGGGCCAGCGGCAGCAGTCTCGTCCCGCGCGAAGCTGCAGCCGAAGGACGTCTCCACCACCTCGCGCCTTCGCTCCCCGACCACCGGTGGCGCTGCGCGGGGGGGCCTCCCAAACCGCGCGCTCGAACGAAGCCGAGCTCTCACCTCGGCGGGCACAGGCTCCTGCACGTGGCGCCGCCAGCGAAGAGCCAAGACCACCTGTCGTCGAGGACCTGGCTCCACGACGCACGCCGTGAACGCGCGCGCGCGCTTGCTGCCCTAGCCGCCGCGCGGGCCGCCGATGCTCGCGGCGCAGGGCCCGGCCGTCTCTGCCGAACATCGAACGCCAGGCGAGCTGGAGGTCAATGCGCCTGCTCCCTATCAAAGGGGGTTGTGCGCCGATCTTGGGGGCGAGGTTTCTCTCGGCCACGTCGGCCCACAAACGACGTCGCGGCCCTGGGCGGTCTGCGGCGCCCTGCGCGCTCCAAGCCTCTGACGACTAGACTGCGAATGCCGCCCCGATTCCAATTCCATCGCTGAGCGGGGCCGAAAAACGGAAGGCATGGGGGCGGGCGGGGGCCCGGGAAAGGGCGAGGCACGCAGGGCAGCGAGACGCTCGCGGAAAACCTGCTCCGCGGGGTGGCGGGCAACAGGTCGGCGCCCGCGAGAAAGCCAATGGGCGCGACGCCCCTGCCGCGCCCGCTCGGTCACGCAGAATAATCAAAGATGGCGGGCGGCCAAGGAGGAAAGAACGCGCGCGAGCTGGAGGCCGCGAGGCCCCTTGCGCCCCGAGAAAAACGAATGCGTTTTTAGACATGCAGGCTCGAAGTTGAAATCCGCGCCAACCGCCCGCGGTTGGCGACAACGGGCCAGTTGCTCAGCCGCGCGCGCAGGGCCCCCCCAGGTTGGCACGACTGAAGCCTTCGGAGTGCACGAGATAAGCCGGCGCAGCAATGAACGGGGGAAGCGACGGCAAGCGCGCCTCGCGCGCGAGGCGCCTGCCGACGGCGGAGACGCCCCCCTCGATCTCGCGGCAACCGGGCCAAGATCAGACGAACGTGGCAACGTGGCCGCGCTGGAAGACGCGCCTTGAGAGGCGCCCGGAATGGCGGGGGCCCAAACGGATTTCCAACCGCGACAACAAGACCAGGCGCTCGCCTGACCGATGTCACCCCGCCGCGTCCGTCGGCGCCCCTGGCCGAGCGCAATGTGGGCGGGTGAATCTTCGAGCAAACCAGCGAGCCTGCCCTGGGAGATGGCGCTGAAGGCGCGCGCCCCGAGCGCCGCCGAGCTGGGGCCGGGGCCCGGCGGGGCCTCGACGCTGGCGCCAGACGCGACCCTCGACAGTGAGCCCTATTGAATGTTCTGAAACCTGCCCCCTCAAACATGCCAGTCCAGTGCAAAGCTCGGGCGGCATCGGAGCCTCCAGCGCCGACTGCCGAGAGAACCATCGGCTCGTCCAATGCGGGCCTGGCGCAGGAGACGCCATGATTAGCTGCAGACTTGCCAAGCGACATCGCATGATTGCGATGAGCGGGCAGCGCGAAAGAACGGGCGCCCAGCCCTTCTTGGGAGACAACGTGCTGCGCAAGTCAAGCCTGGCCCGAGGCGGGGCGCGGCCGTTCCAGAAGTCTGCGGCCGCGGCCGCGAGCGAGAGACGTGCGGCGCGCCGCTCGTTCATCGACGTTGGAGGCGGCCTAGCAACCGGCCCCACTCGCGCCGTAACGCAGCCCGCGTCATGCCCGGCACCAGCGCCGCGAAAGAGCGCGACTCAAGTCCCCCTGGAGCTGGGGCAGGTCAGAGCCTTCGACGGGGTCCGACGCCCAGAGAGCGGCCGGCCCTTTCGACAGCGGAACGCATGGACCAAGGGGCCAGAAGCTAGAACCGAAGGATTTTTCGTTCGCTCCAGCGGGGGGGCGGGCGGACAGCAGGGGGGCGCCTCGCAATTTTTTCGCGGCGGCGACCCCGCCGGCGAGCGGGCGGGCCGCCGTCGCAGCCGCAGTCGCCGCCGGCGAATCAGCAGCGAGAGCGGCCTGCCCTTTGGCGGGCTGCGCGCGGAGCTCCAGCATCGGGCTCGGCAGGGGCAGCCGCGCCCGTGGTAGCTGGGGGCGCGTGCGCTGGTTGCTGAGGCATTCCCGCGGCAGCTCCATTTCCCGGCCCCCCAATGCGCGCCCTTGCTTGGCCGCCGGCCTCGCTGCCAGCTGCGCGTGCTCTGCCTTGGGCGAGTCCACCTTGGCCGTCGCCTCTGCGAAGAGCGACTTCTCCACAGTCGCGACGCCAATCTTGAGCTGATCCACCTAGGCCGCGAGGTCGGCATTGCCTTCCATGCGCCGCCTTCGTCCGCGACCGCGAAGAAGGCTCCAAAGTCAAGGTCGAACGCAGACGGGAAGCGTCGCTCGTCCAAGAAGTCATCCATGGAGAACTCTGGGCCAGCCAAGATGTCCTCCGTGGGGAACTCTGGGCCAGCCTGCTGCGCCACGTCTGGGGCGTCGCTTTGCATGCGGCCAGCAGTTGATCATGCAGTCGTCGCGCGAGACTTCCATACTCGAATTCAGCTCCGACAAGTTGGTCTCGAAGCTGCAATGCGTTCGTTCGCTGCGTTTCCAGGTGAACCTCCCGCTGCTCGCACTGGTTGCGCGCTGACCCGAGTCCCTCTCGACCTTGTGAGCCATTTGATGCACTCGACTGAACCGTGCCTGAAAGGGCGCCAAATGTTGTGCGGGAAAGTTACTGCGAGGCAGCCGCTGCCGTCATGTGGTCTTGAGCTCCTTGAGTATCTCCGAGCTTCTCGCACAGAAACGCAAACTGCAAATACTCCTCATGAGACAGCTGTGGCTGTCCTGTGTCTCCCCCTTGCCTCGAAACTGAACACCTTGTTGCGTTCCTCTGCCACCTCCCTCGCCTTCGCCTCCAGGTATGTCGAACCAGACCCGCGAGTTGCCTGTGGATCAACTCGAAAAAAGGCAGCGCAAAGTCCGACCTGAGTGCCCCGCAATGGCTGCAGAGAGTAGAGGCGGCCCTCGTTCTTCTTACGCCCGCACCAGCAACATATCCATTGGTGTCCTGCCGTGCCTGCCATGGAGCCGTCAGCAGGACCATCCCGACCACGACCTTGGATGCCAGGTGCGAACGGGGGCCGCACCTTTGGATCACGCTTCTGGGGGGCTGCGTGGCTCCGAAGTAACTGCTCCCTCCTCCAAGCCGGCGGGCGATGCAACAGAAGCTGACCACATCCTCGATGCCATGGTGCCAACGGGACACAATTCTTCCCACCATCGCCTTTGCCCACCATGACCCTGGATGGGGCGAGGTCGACAACTGCTCCAGTATGAACTCACGTAGAAAAGCCCCCGGAAGGGGTGTACACGTGAAGGCGGAACCAGCCAGCTTGAGCCAGTATGGCTACGGACGCACTTGCTCGCATGAACGTTGGGTGGCTTTCAAAATGTTGGTCTCGCCTTAGCGCAGCACGCAACTGTCGCAAATAACCTTATGGCGGTTCTTTTTCAAAAAAGAGTTCACACTGCAGAGTGTCTTCAACTTAACGGCAAGCAGGCGGTGCGCAACAGCATCCTCCCCCCCTCGGAACTATGGTCAGAGAATGCCGCGCTCCATGACAGGTCCAGGTGCCGATTCGAAGAGGCAGAAGAGGCGGAGGAGGAGTATGACAATGGGGAAGCAGGGCGGAAAAAGGGAAATAGGAAAGAAAAGGGAGAAAGGGAGGAAAGGAAGGAAGGAGGAAGGACCTCCGCAAGGGCATGTCCCCCTTAGGGGTGGCAAGTCCCTAGGTGCCTGGGTGGGAGGGAGGAAACCCCTTCCTGTTGTAAGCCCCTGTTGTGCCACTAGGCGGGCTGAGCGTCACGCCGAAGACTTCCTCACCATTGATGATGCCTCAATGTGAAAGCTGCAACATCTCACGGAAGGAAGGGCAATGTTTTTAAAGTGTGAGTATCGCCTTAGCGGAGCCCGCGCTTTCGTCTTACTTCCTTGCACGTTGCACGAATGGATGGGGGCATGTTGCCTCTCTCTCTCTCTCTCTCTCCTTTTCTCAGCGCCGCGCACACTCGTCTTACAAGCTTGCAGTAGGTTCCATTATGGACTGGGTGTCGTTGTCACATTGTGGCTCGCATTGTATCGCCGCGCGCACTCGCCCTGATATTTGCAACAGCTTCAAAGATGGAGGGCGGCTCCTGTTTCACAATGTGGCTCTCGCCTCAACGCCGCCCGCATTCGTCGTACAACTTGCAGCACCTTCACGGATGGAGGGTCGTTCCTTGTCCAACTAGATTGCTTTCGCCTAAGCGCCGCGCGCACTGGTTTGCAACGCCTGCACACATTAGTCTTGAAGTGTGTCACACGCTCAGGGATGGAAGTTGGGAGGTATTCAAAGTGGTGCCCTCGCGTTAGCACAACGCACATTCGTTGTGAACGTTTGCGCTGGGTTGATGGATGGAGGGCGGTGCCTGCTCAAAGTGGTGGAGCTCCCGCCTCAGCACCGCAAACGTTCTTCGCAAGATCTTGCAACAGCGACAATGATTGAGCACTGCTCGTTTTCAGAACTGAAGTTCTCGCCTCAGCGCCGTGCGCATTTGCTGGCTCAACGCAACCTCTTGGGAGGGTGGAGGGCTACTACTTTCAGAAACTGACTTATCGGACGGGGCCTCGCCAGCACTGAGCCGAAACGCAGAAACTTCCACGCGCGCGGCGCTGCACGGATCAAGGGTGACCTCGCTTCGAGATGGAGTTGTCGCTTGATGCTTCCTCGGAACTCATGATCATAAGTGCGAACTGGCCCAACAGTTTCACTGAGGGGCGGCCCTTCCTCGAAAGGGGGATCTCGCTGGACACCTGGTTGATCTGTGTGCTCATTGTCCCTCGCGTTCCTGCTGTCGCGCCGCCTCCCAGCAATGGCACGCCCAAGGAGAACGCTTCTTTAAGTTAAAGGGGACACTAGGGGCTTCTGAGCAGGGGACTGGGGACGGTCGGGTCTATTGCAGCATCGTTTATGAATTGTTGGTTTACTCTGGTCCTCCTCCTTTTTGCACGCCGGAACGGGACGGACACTGTGGGCACGATGTTCGTTTTGGCAACTTGATATGTTGACAACGATTCTTGTCCAGTTGAGCCACACATGCAGTCACATTGAACAAACTGCTGCCGAAAAGACAGGATTTTCTGTCTGATAGGCCCTAGTGGGCTGCAATTCTTGTTCCACGTGTTTCATCGGGCAGACGTAAGACTCGGGTACAGGGGATTCGGATTGGCCTGACGGGGCCATCATAAAAATGACGATACCCAATCTGAAATTTGACGCGAACTCCCGCAGCAAACATCCAACGAGGACTGGACCGTCAAACTCCGGGACGCGCTCGTCAAACAAAAACGCCGGCATACCAGAGCTCCGGCTCACTCGAGCTCCGCTTCCCCGAAATAGGCGCTGCTGGTGGGCATCGCACCCATCCCTTCCATCCCAGCTCTGGGCGTGCAGGTCCTCCTCCGTTCCTGAAGGGGCCCTGGGACACACAAATAAAGGATTCCCCATAATATCATATATTTTCGGGGTTCCTGTCTTCCCCCCCACTGCCCATATGTTCCCACAAGGAATCGACGATGAATTGTGTCTGTGTGTTTTTCCCCCTCCTGAGCTTTTGGAGTCCCGAAACGGTGCGATGACAGACCGTGCGGTGACCTCGAAATCCCCCAAGATCTCACCGCACGGTCCGTCACCGCACGGTCTTGGGACCTCGGAGGCCCCCATCGCCCGAGACGCCCTCGGAGAACGACCCGAGCCCCAGAACCGTGCGGTGACCCCGAATCCCCACCGACTCACCGCACGGTGTGGTCACCACTCCGTCTGGGGGCCCCCGAGAGCTCGCGGGAGCGGCCAAGAGGGGGGTGGTGTCCAAGAGGGGGGGGTGCAAATCATGACCGGCGGCATGTGCGCGGCCCAGCGGGGGGGCCAGGGACGTAATGAAACGAGAAGAGGCGCCATGAAATCTGGGGAAATATCATCGCCCCCGCCATGATATCCACCCCCCCGTAGTCATCACCCCCCTCTTTTCCGCCCCCGACGTTTGGGGGCCCCCGAGCGCTCCACCCCTCCCGCCCGCCACGCCCGGCACGCCGGGGCCGCCGCCCAGGGAGGCCCTCGCCGTGCCGCGCAGCCCCGCGAGGGAGCGCCGGCGAGCAGACGCCCCCCCCCGCGGCCTATGCGGGGGGGGGCTGCGCCGAGCTCGGGCGCGCGCGCCGACCTGCTCAGCCAGCCTGCCGTGCATCGGGGAGGCGCAAGGCTCGGGCACGGGGGACTCGGGCTGGCCTGACGGGCGCCAGCATCAAAATGGTGAGGCCCAATCTGGAATGTGGCGCGGGCTCCCGCTGCAGACGTCCCACGAAAGCCGGACCGTCAAAATCCAGGACGCGCTCGTCAAAAAGTCGGCAAACCCGAGTTCCAGCTTACTCGAGTCTTACGTATCCCCGGATGTGGGAGACGGGTCCTGTCGGGGATGGACAGAACCCCCTCTCGCAAAACGTGGTTTCGTGAAAACGACCTCGGGTCCAAGCCTGGCGGGGGCGCAAGCCTGGGAAATGACGGCCGCGGCGCCCGCTCGAGAACCGAAAACGGACAATTCACAAATCGACGTGTCAGGGGGGGGGTTCTGTCCTACCGGAAACGGCAGGGCCGTTTTTTCACCGTTTCCAAAAAAATGTCCCTTAAAAATGGAAACGGCAAAAAAACGGCGACCGGAAACTGAAAAAAACGGCTCCAGGATTGGAACTGGAGGGGGAACCCGTAAAAGAACGGCGACGGAACCGGTAAAACAACGGCGTCGGAGCCGGCAAGAAAACAGCAGAACGGAGCCGGTGAGAAAACGGCCCTGTCGTTTCCAGGGCCCACTGAGGTCAGGGGGGGGTTCTGTCCATGCCCGATCCTGGAGGAGATCGGGGGAGACACAGCTGCAGAAGCCTGCGAGCTCTCGGAGCTCCGCACGGGTCCAAGCCTGGCGGGGGCGCCAGCCTGGGAAAGGACGGCCGCGGCGCCCGCTCGAGGACCGACAACGGACAGCTCACTAATCGACGCGCCAGGGGGGGGGGCTCTGTCCATCCCCGATCCTGGAGGAGATCGGGGGAGAAACACGTCTGCAGCAGCCCGCGAGCTCTCGGAGCTCCGCAGTCGCTTCGTGGATCGGCCCCGGGGCGCCCCCCGGCGGCGCCCTCAGGCGCCCCGCGCCGGCCCGAGAGATCCGCCCAGTTCATGTCTGTGCGCTCTTCTGGCCATCGCTCGGACGTCCATTCCCTGTATTTTTTCGGTTTTGTGCGTGGTCTTTTCGCCAAATGATCAAGGATGCTCCTCGATGGTCCACGCCGAAGGAAAATGCACACGTCCGAGCGATGGCAAGTCTTCTCTTCACCTATAGGACCCAGGATGCACGTCGGTCGGGAGAAGTAGGTCAAAGCATGAAGTAGGAAGGCGGATGAAGCTGATTGGGTCTAGGCCCCCCCAGGGAATATCAAAACGCCGCAAACAAAGCGTGTCGATTCTTGTTGTAGGAAGGCGCCTGAAGCAGATTGGGATCTGGGAATCCAAAAACATCGAAAGAGGGCTCCCCAACTTCGCGCTTCGCGCTGCGCGAAGCGCGAAGTGCGACTAACTTCGCGCTCTTGCGCCGCCTCCCAGGGGAGAAGAGGAGGACGAGGAGGAATCGGAGCCGAACCGCGAAGCGCGAATAACTTCGCGCCCTCGAGGGCGCCCCTGAGAATAAGGGTCCCGGAGATTTCGCGCCGTCTTCGGCTCATCCTGGGGACAGCAAGGAGGCGGAGGAGAAGGAGGAGGAGGAGGACGACGAAGAGGAGGAGGAGGAGGGGGAGGAGGAGGAGGCGGAGGAGGGAGAGGAGGAGGAAGAGGAGGAGGAGGAGGTGGAGGAGGTGGAGGAGGAGGGGGAGCTGCTCCACATGCGCACAGCAACTCTGGGAGCGGGCCCTCCTCCTCGCGGAGCGCGGGGGAAGTCCGGATCGCGCTAGTGCGCGGGTCCCGTGTGCGACGGGGGGGCGGGGGGGGGCGGGGCGGCCCATCGGGCGGGGGTGGCGTGATGGGCTGCCCCCAGAAAGGCCCAGAACACTCGAGCCCCCAGACCTCTGGGCGCCGCGGCAGGCTCCCTCGAGGGGGCGCATATCGCGGGCCCTGGGGCCCGCCAGGAACGGCCCGCGAGGAAGCAGCTCGAGCATCGACAGATGTACTGTACGCCCTCCGCGCTACAGTCGCTGACTGATGGAAACCAGGCTCCTGGGAGTCAGGGTCAGCGAGGGGCAAGCTGAGGAAGAACGGCTTTCTGAGAAACAAATGCTGGCCCGGGCGACGACTTCCCAAAAGAGCTGCAAAAGAAAAGCCAAACGATGACTGCGCTTTGAGACAACTACGACTCTGATCTAGGAAAATCAACGGATTGACCTCACCCTTCCCTGACCTCCAGAAGGCTGACCCCCATCAGCAAGCAAAGGAGCGGCCCTGCGTGCACGAGTGTCCGCGTGCAAAGCGCAGTCCGGCGGAGTCTGGCGGAAGCTGAACGCGTACGTATCCATATGCTGTTGGCCTCTGCGTGGGGTCGAGGGCTGCTCGCTGGAAGCGCGGGCCACCGAGGCGGCGCGGAGCCAGAGGTCCGCGGTGCATTGCGGTGAGCGCGGGCGCCGTGCAAGGTCCTCGCCGAGCGAGTGAGACGTCGAGGCAGGGCCTATGTACAAGCGACATGCCAGGCCTATCGCGCGCTGACTCGCGTGCGGCGGCTCGCCAGACGCCTCAACACAGCCAAGCTGGCTCGACCAGCCACGGAGGGGTCGTCGGCTGGAGAAGGAAGGCGCGCAGATCAGGCCCAAGACCACAAGAACGCACGCTTGGCGTCTTCCCCCCTTTCAACGGGAGACACAGCACCTCGCAACACGAAGTGATGCGATCGAACTTCTTCTTTCCCTGAACTTCCTCCTCCTCCCCCTCTGGCTCCCCATCTCCGACATCTCCCCACACCCTCCCGCCCTGTGCGCTGGACATCCTCCTCCTGCTCATCCTCTCTCCTCCCCCCTCCCGCCCTCCCTCTCCGCTGCTGGATATGCACACGGGGTGGCGCGTGTGTGAACGTGTTTCCGTAACCACAGCAGGTCTTTAGCATCCTCCGATTATTGGCAATTTAAAAAGTTCGGGGGCTAAATCAAGGTTGTCGACACCCTACAAGAATCGGCAAAACATATTCCGCCAGCGCCGCCGCCGCCGCCGCCTTTGTCGACAGCGACATCGCCGTCGTAAATCGCCCTCCCCCGTCCCCGTGCAAACGCTCCAGCGCGCGGCTCGCCAGCCGAGGCGGTGCGATGTGACGGCAACGGCCTGCGTGCTCGGGCCCGCGCCCCCCTCCCGGCGCACCCCCGAAAGCCGCGCCACTCTGGCGAAGGGCCACTCCGATGGTCCTCAGTAGGGGGAAAACAAACCTACCTCGCTTTTGACCACCCTCGCTTCCAAGAGATACCAAACGATGCCAAATTGCAGCCTGTACTCGTCAGGCCACTTGACGAGGAGGCGCGTGGTATGACTTGGTTTTGCCTGGAAGCGAAACCGGGGTAGGTCATTTTCACGCTCTGACCGTCCCTGTGCAAACGCTCCAGCGCGCGGCTCGCCAGCCGCGGCGTGCGCTGCGACAGCCGCGGGCCTTCGTGCTCGGGCCCGCCACCCTCCTGGCGCCCCCCGAATGCCGCGCCACTCTGGCGAAGGGCCACTTCGATGGTCCCCAGAGCGTGTCGGCGCCGCCGTGCGCATGTCCACCGAAACCGTGCAGCACGACACAGGCGGTGCCCCCCTCCCGGCGCCCCCCGAAAGCCGCGCCACTCTGGCAAAGGGCCACTTCTGCGGGCAGCACTTATATCCATACCCAGAGCGTCTTGGACTTTTCGGGCAGAGGTGCCGCAACGCCGAGGCGCACTGGATATGGATAAAACCAAGCCTCTTGGGGCCAGATTTCTATCCATATCCAGTGCGTCTACGGTCTCTGGGGAAGAGAGCCCAAGACTCCAAGACGCACTGGATGTGGGTATAACTATTGCCCGCAACTTCGATGGTCCTTAGAGCGTGTCGGCGCCGCCATGCGCATGTCCACCGAACCCGTGCAGTACTGTCGGGGTGTTGACCTAAGGAACCCTGAATAAGGAACGAGGCCCCTATTTTCCATCAGTTAAACTTCGATGTCATATCGAAAACCTAAGGAACACCTAAGGCAAGCTGCGAAACAATCAAGGAACGCGGAGCCCCTCCCCAACGAGAAGGGTTCCTTCTTCAGCGCCCCGGCTGTACAACGCAGGCGGTGCAACGAGGGCCGACCCGGGCTGCGTGTTGTCGGCGGAGCTCACCGGGGTAGACAGAAGTCGGACCGACACGCGTCCCGAGACTCGCCGATCCTGGCGCGGGAACGGAGCTCCCTCTCCTCTCGGGGGCGGCCAAGAGGGGGGTGTCCAAGAGAGGGGGGGTGCAAATCATTACCGGCGGCATGTGCGCGGCCCAACGGGGGGGCCAGGGACGTAATGAAATAAAAAGAGGCGCCATGAAATCTGGGGGAATATCATGGCCCGCGCCATGAAATCCCCCCCCCCCTAGTCATCACCCCCCTCTTTTCCGCTCCCGATCCTCACAACGCGCTTCCGTCCTGTGGAACCCCCTACATTAAAACTCTGCGCGCCGCCGGCGGAGCGGCGGCCGGGGCTATGCGGGGCGGGGATCACTGCCGGCCCCGCTGCCACAGCCCCCTGCGCGCGCGGCAGACAAGCAAATGGAGAAGGGAAGGAGCCTTCGGCCCACGCACGAGGGCATGGCGGTTTTGTATGGCTGCTTCCGCAAACCGCCTGCGGTTGCTTCCGCAAGCCGCCAGCGCGGCTGGGCGGATCACGCGGAGTGGGGGGCACCTGCGCGTGCGACCTGGTTTCTTGGGGAGGGGCCGTGGGCCTGGACGCCCTGGCAGGGGGATCCCGCAATGTAATGTCTTGTTGGGGGGGCTCTGGCAGAATTTTTTGTTGTGGGTCGACCAGCGGCTGAGTCCGACCGTGCCCCCGGAGGGGAAGGGCCTGAACTGCGGCTAGCCGGGAGGAGATAAAAATGTCTGACCCGACTCGGGTGTAAACGCAAAGGCGCCAAACCCCGCACTTCGCGTTGCGCGAACTGCGGATCACCCCGCACTCTCGCGCCGCCCCCCGTGGGAGAAGAGGAGGATGAGTAATCGGAGCCGAAGCGCGAAGCGCGAAGAACTTCGCGCCCTCGAAGGCGCTGTTGGTACAGTGGGGGCCCGTCGCGCGTACTTCGAAGGCGCGGTGGCCCGTGGGCCACAAGTGGCAGTGGGCGCAGGAGTCGCGCGGCGGGCGGCGGCGATCCAGCCGAGCGGCGGAGGAGAGGGGGGGGGACGCCCATCTTCTCCTGCCGAGCGCGTGCCTCCAGCGGCCCCGCAGCCACCGCGGACCCTCCCGGGCAGACTCGGGATAACTCCTGCGACGGGCCGCCTGCGGGGGGGGGCCCACGGAAAGTGCCAAGAGAGCCCATGGCAATGCGAAGTGCAGGCAGCCATGGGCGAGTCGGGTCCATACGCGCGAGGCGCCTTGGTTTGCGCAGCACCAGCGGCGGAACGCACTCTGAAGGAGGACGGATACAACGAGGAGGGACATGACAGGGAATAGGGCGAGAAGAATCTATTGACACAGCGTGTTATTGATACGCTTCGGGAATTCTGGGATTTCTAACAACCTTGTCGTGGGGTACACTTTGCGTCGAGTATTATCCACTCTGGCTGGCGCCGCTGGTCGGTCACCCATCCGCAATCGAGCGGTCGCCCGCGAGCGGCTACTCGGCACTTGCTGATCCCCCTTTTCTTTGCCGGGCGCGGGGGGGACGGTCGCGCACCGTCCCATCGCCCGCCGCCGCGCACCGCGCGCCTCGGCGGATTTCCGAAGACCTGCTATGACAAATCACGCGCGACTCTGAAAAACATCCTGGGGGGAAAATTTGAAAACACATAAATCCAGGAACGTTTTTGAAAATGCCCGGCCTACTTTTTGAAAAATAGCAGAATCGTTTTTTGAAAAATTCAGGGATCGGTTTTGAACAAGTCTGGGGTCAATTTAAAAAATTCTGGATTCCAGAATTCTTCAAATGTCCTGGCGGGCGCATTCCACCCCTCAAAACCGTTTTTTGTACATGTCCGGGTTCATTCTTGAAAAATTCCGGAACTGCTTGGGCAACAAAAAATGAAAGCGTTTCCAAAAACATTCTACAAACTAGGAAACAATCCGGGAGGTCCGACGGGCGCGGCCGGCCGATTGACGCAGCGCGCCGCGCGCGATTGGGCGCAGCGCGCGCCGCGCGTTGCGCCCACAAATAGCACTCGAACGGGCGACCTCGAAAACAGCGCCACGGCAGCTGCGACTCGCGGACTCCCCAACAGCAACACAGCATGCAGCTTGGAATCTCCGAAGGCGCTCCGATGCGCGAGAAGAGCACCGCGCACATCACGCAAAGAACCTGCGCGACGGAATGCGCTCGACCATTCGTCCCTGGAGCCCGCGCAGAAGAACAGGAAAACCTGGAAATATTGAGAAGGACCAGTATCAATTCTTCATGCTCCTCTGAAGGAAGAACTGAGACTGAGGGCGGGGAACATCAAACATCTAGGTGCATCAACTATCGCAATGCGAGCGCGGATCGAACCGAATTCACCCTAGCATCGTATCTGTAACACCAGGTGGACAGCAGTTTGCTGTAAATCACAATGAGCAGCCATGGGGGGAAAGTTCCATACACAAAGCACATGTTGGCTTGTGTGGACCACAAACAGTGATTTCTTGCTGTCTCTGCGGTGCAATCTGGGTTGTGCAATCAAGGTGGTGCACTATATGTGGTGCACTACACCAGTTGGCAACTCCTGCTGACCACTCCACTGCTCGTGCAAACATCCCACCCTCCCACCCGCAACTTGGTCGCAAGACCTTTTAAGACCGTGACGGTGGGTACCAAATGGCACTTGGCAACGGCACCGACGCCGACGCCGACAGCGACAACGACGACGACGACGCCGCCGACAACGACCACGACACCGACGACGTCTCCAACGACTTAGACGACGACAACAACGAAGACGACGGCGACGACGACACCGACGACGACGACGACGACGCCGACGCCGACGACGACGACGATGACAACGACGACGACGACGCCGACGCCGACGACGACGACGACGAAGTCGCCAACGAAGACGACGACGACGACGACGAGGGAGGAGGAAGGATGACGACAGCGGCAACGACGACAATGACGAGGGAGGAGGGAGGACGGCAACGACGCGAACGACGAGGGAGGAGGGAAGACGACGACGCCGACAACAACGACGAGGCAGGAGGGATGACGACGACGACGACGACGACGACGACGACGACGACGACGACGACGACGGCGCTGAAATAGGAGGGACAACGACGAAACGCCGACGAAGACGACGAGGGAGGAAGGACGACCACGGTGATGACGACGACGGAAACGACGACGACGCCAAGACGACGACGACGAGGAAAGACAGAGGACGACGACGGCGACGACGACGACGACGGCGACGAGGGAGGAAGGAGGAAGGCGACGACGACGACGACGCAAGAGCGCGCGCGCACGCTTTTGTTGAAAATCCGTGTTGCGAAACCGTGTGTTTTTGAATGTTTTCTGGACACTCGATTTTGGCATCTTTCCGGAACCGAAGATTTTTGAGGGATGTCGGCATGCGCGTGCGACGACGCGCGCGTGCGCAATTCGTCCCATGTTTTGCAGGGGATTCTCGCGCCGGCACACGCGCAAGGGCGTTCGAAAGATTTCGACATGCGCGCGCGAAGCCCGTTTGGTAGCATTTCTTGAAAAGATTGAAAAACCATGTTTCCCTTAAGATTTCGCAAGAGCGCGCGCGTAAGTTTTTTTAGCAAATCAGTGTTGCGGAACCCTGTGTTGTTGTATGTTTTTTGGGAACTCGATTTTGAAATCCTTCCAACATCAAGAATGTTTGAAGGGTTTCGGCATGCGCGCGCGACGACGCGCGCGTGTGCACTTCGTCAACTGTTTTGCAAAGGATCCTTGAACACTTATGATTATTGAGAAACGAGTGTGCGCGCATTTTATTTTTGCGAGAGGATGGCCGGGGGGGGGGGTCGAGACCGGTTCCGCTGGGATAATTTGAATTCATATTTAGGATGGACGAGTGTCCAGAATAAATTTGAAATCGCAATACCCCAGGGGGTATCGTTAACTCCAGGGGGGGGTAGAGTCTACTCTTCTTTAAAAGGGAGAATCCATGTGGTTCACTCTATACAGAGCCTAGCCATGCAGAGCAATACAAAGCACTGCGAAGCAAACCAATGCAATGCAAAGCAGTGCAATGCAGTGCAAAGCAATGCATTGCAAAGTAGCTCAAAGCAGTGCAACGTAATGCAATCCAAAGCAGTGCAATGTACGAAGCGCAAATCAAGAAACACGCCCACACATAGGCACCGTCTGGGGCGCTGTGGGTGCGGCGCCGGATCGCAGGAGCAAAAGAAGATGAAGCCCAATCAGAAATCCTGCTCGATCTTGTTTCAACACTCTGTTGTGGCAACCCTTTCCATTTTCCATTGGTACCCAGGATCTGACTATCCATATTGTTCCCTGCATGGCTTCGGATGTCGTCGATCCATCTAGCTTTCGGGCGTCCCGGCCCCCGTTGTTGCACGATTTGCCTGGTCGTCTTGCAAGGCGCAGCAAATGCAGTGCACATGCAACGCAGTGGAAAAGACACGAAATGTAAAGCAATGCTCAGCGATGCACCGCATGCAAAACAATGCGCAGCATTGCAATGCGAAGTAATGTAAGGCAATACAAGGCAATGCAAAACAATGCAAAGCAATGTAAAGACAGGCGGATCAATACAATGCAGTGCAACGCAATGCAAAAAAAACCATGCAGTGCCATTGCAACACAATGCAATGTAACGCCATGCAACGACGGCGCGGCGACGACGGCGCTAGCCACGGCGGCGGCGACGACGGCGGGTCCACGCGCTTTCGGAGGTCGCCCGCGAGGCCAAGCAACAACCACCAGAAGTGTTCAAACTTCGCCCCTCGATCCGCAATCGATCCTCGAATCCGAGCCAGACCGAGTTCCCACAGATGTTTCTGCAAGTCCGTAGGCCCGACCCCTTCCCCGGGGGCCGTCCTGGACGAAATCTGTTGCCCTGGGGCCAGAAAAACAGAACTGTCCCCACAGGGGCTCGCTTTCAACTCGAACGAGACAAACACGCCAGAGTCGGCGGTGGACAAACCTCTCTTTAGGAAACCTCCCCTCAATGAAAGCGGCCCGGGACCGAAGCCGACGGACCTGGACCCGCAAAAATGACGGCCGCGACGCCCTCTCGCGATCCGAAAACGGCCAATTCCTTAACCGGCGTGTCAGGGTACAGTCGGGGCCTTGAGCTAAGGAACCCTAAATAAGGAACGAGGCCCCTGTTTTCCATAAGTCAACCTCCGACTTCCTGTCGAAAACAGAAGGAAAGCCTGAGGCAAGCTGTGAAACCATCAAGGAACACCGAACCCCTCCCCAACGAAAAGGGCTCCTTCCTCAACGCCCAGACTGCAATCGACGTGTCAGGGCAGGAGGCCTGTCCACCCCCGACAGAGTGAGAGGCAGGAGGAGGAGGAGGAGGAGGAGGAGGAGGAGGAAAGCCACTGGCCCAGGAGGGGCCAGCCGTAGG